AAGGAAGGAAGGAAGGAAGGAAGGAAGGAAGGAAGGAATGAAGATGCAGTGCCAGGGTTTTTTTAATGTTGGCTTGTTCACAACGGATTTAGTTTGTTCGCCGCACTTTAGTATTTCCTACCTATATCGCCGTGCCCCCTTCCTATTCTACTAGACCCATTTTCTCAATGCTAAATTAATTGAATGCATTCCTTTAAGACAATGACAGAGAAGAAGATTGAAGAGCTTAGCAAAGTAGTCGAAGAATATAAACGTAGAGACAGTCTTGGACTCTTTGATGATTCAGAAGAAGAATCAGACCTTAGCAGCAGTACGTCTTCACCCTCGTTCGGTGACCTGTCGACAAAACGAAAAGCACGGAAAAAGAAAAGAACAAAGGCTGAAAAAGCAGCACAAAAACGAAAACAAAAAGAAATGAAGGCTGGTAAAAAAAAGTCTGAAAAATACGAGAAACGAGGGGCTCAGAAGTCTGATGAAGAAGAAAAAGTAGACTCTCAAGCGGATGTACGAAAAGAAGAAACAAAGTCACAACAGATTGTGATAAGACCAGTCGATATTGAAAACTCAGAGATCTACCAAAACCTGAACGCAAARTTTRAACAAGTCTGYAATGAGCTYCATGTYGAGCGGGAAAAACTGGCTCAAACAGAGAAAGAGTTTGAAAAACTAAAGAAAGAAAAGATCAAATACATTCAAGAAAAGGTCGACCGAAAGATTGAGATGGAGCAACTGATTCGAAAGCAAGAAGTCGAAACAGAAGAACTACGAGATAAAATTGCAAACTTTGAAATGGAGACGAAGAAGCTGAAGAGTRAAGTTGAGAGCAATGAAGAAATGATTCAGTACCAGGAGGAGCGTATCACTCAATATACTGAAGAAATCCAACATTTAGAAGATCGGGTGATGGGCTCCTTACCAGAAACCCCGGCCATAAGTTCCACTAGCTTCGCGCAGACAGGAGCTAGTCGTCGTGGAAGAAGAACACTCGAGCCCCCGACCGCCCGCCAAATGGTGACTAAAATAAAACAACAATATGAATCAGAGATACAGGGTCTGAAGGACTTCTTGGCCAAGGAAAATCATCGGTATCAAGCAGACTCAAGACGCAAAGAACAAGAACACAAGAGAGATATACAGAATATTCATAAAGAGTCGTTGCAGGTGTTGAGATGCATCAATCGATTCAAGGAAGGAGCAGCCAATCTGTTAGACCGCGAAAGTAAGTCTAAACTTCTAAAGAGGTTTCATATGACATGTATGACGTGACCGTGTCACACTTTCCTTGATCATCCTTGATGTTCCGTGACCGTGTCGTGAACATATGGTCTTGATAATCAGAACCCCCCTCCCCCACTAGGGGTACTAAGGGTACTAGGGGTGGTTCGTTGATAGGGATGTGTCATTGGGGTCCCAACCCTGATCCTATCTAAGACGAGAATATCTTGTAAAAACATGAATTTTAACTCTGTTAAAGATCTAACAGGACGATATGGTGAAAGTTACTCTCTAAAATTGTTTGACGGCGGGAAAAATCAGTTTCGACATAAAGTCAAAATTAAATGACTTATCTAAGACTTGAAAACTCTAGGTACCGCTTACATATCCAAGAATCATGGTCCTGTCTATTATCCTGATATTATGGAAATCGTATATCTTGTCTATGGCCAAAATCCTGAAAAACCATACACCATCAAGGGGAACATCCCCTCCCCCCACGGACCAGAACATAATGCGTTTTGATTGCATTACCAACTATGTTGTTTCTATTTATATTATATTTTTATTATATGTTTTTATTTCGTATGTTTTAAGTTGTATGTTTTTTTTATGTTGTATGCCCTTCTTTATGTGTTTTTTCTCTTCTCTCCATTAGACCTTTCTGCAGAGGCATATGCCATGAGGATGTTACCTCCACTAACAATGGATGAATCACCAGCAGAGATCAAACAAATGCTGGCTAAAATGGCTATCCTTTGTAATGAACTGCTCATCTCTATGGAGCTTCAGCTGTCCAAGGTATGATTACGCTTTGAAAGGTTGAATACATACGATCAGGACATTTCTGGTTCTAGATTAGAGGGAAGGTTGGGCGAACACCGAATAAAATGCTAGTAATTGTTAGTTACTTCAAAGAGGATAAAGACGCATTAACCGTACGTTGTAACGTATTACARCATGTTATACTGCAGAGGGGGAATGAAGGGGAACCAATACTCCAGATTCGAGGTTTCTGTTGCTCAGGGTTGGCCTTGACTTTGTGCAGAATATTGATATATTCCAGTAAAATTCCGTAGAATTTCAAAGTGTTTTGTTCGAAGCTGTGCATTCTTTACTTTACCGTTGGCATTTGTGAATATTTAGACACTAAAACAAGGCTTAGCCTGAGTAAATGAGTCTGTAATCAAGGAACACAGCGGTAATTTGGAACTCAAAACAGGTCTGTTGTGAAGATTATTTTAACATTTAAAAATGTTATCACCATCTTATTGCACACAAAATGATGTCATGTTGGAGAGGTGAGGGGTGGGAGGGGTGGGTGGGGATATTAACACCGTAGTACTTCCTCAGTTAGATCAGTATCACATATCATGTTCCAGAAGGTAATGTTGGAGGAGATTATGAGCACACCAAAAGCGTCTTGCTCTGAATGAAAGGATGACACTGATTGAATAATATCCCGAATACCTTCGTGGCATTTCACGTTGATAGCTTAGGGTGTGGTCGAAGACAGTTGATTCCTTAAAAACTTTGGTCGAAGTAAGCAAACACACTTCAATATTGTTTCAGGCTTTGATGAGCAAGCGATTGGAGGTAAAAGACACATCCAACGCACGTACAATCTATCAGAAGAAACTGGAGAGTCAGACAGCTGCTCTTTGTAAAGCCAAAGATGTGGGCGCCCGGCAGGCCCACAAGCTGRAGACTGCTAGAGAAGAGATGGTTGAGTATGAAGCTCAGGCATTTAGGTTTAAACTACRAGAGGTATGATTTTCCTCATAAAATAGAAACGATAGATTGATTATCATGTAAAGACAAATACCTTTTGACACATGAATATCCTACGCAAACTCGAGGTTACCCTAATCTAAAAGAAATCCTACCAATAGACCGATCCCGTCTATGCTTGATTGTCCACACGTCCACCGACCCAAGCAATGGGTAGTTTTCCCAATGGAATACAGAATATCTGACCAATAAACTCGAATTCATATATTTTTTAGTAGTTATCGATTCTGTTCTTAATGCACCTTTAGATTAGTGCATTGATTCTAGCAAAGACATTAACAGTTTTCAGCAATCGGTGTCTGTTCCTGGTTGTAGATCAAAAACATATTTTAGCTTGTCCGACGTAGCAACAGTAACTAGGCAGGTAGAAGTAGAGTAATGAATCGGTGTATTTTATCTATACCTAAAGACAACCGATTGGGATCTAGCGTGTTAGGTTTTGGGGGAAAAGGAAAACCGAAAAACCCGGAGAAAAACCTTGAATCAAGGATGAGATCTAAAACTCCAGCGCATGCGTTGCATGCTAATTCCAGAAATTGAACCCGGTCTAGACCCAGCCGAAGGTAAAAGACGAGTCTATAGTGCGTTACACCACATGCGTTGCACATGTTGTTCAATAATGGATATTTTTTGGTGAAACAGGGAGAAAAGAAAGAGATATTGGAGGAGCGCTACAAGGAACTATACAGTGAATATATGGCGCTGAGAAAAGAAGGAATAGCAGCTCGTAAATTAGAAAGAACAGAACGAGAAAAAGACGAAGAGATCAACAGAAAAGAAGCACTCATCATGAAGCAGATGCGAAAGGAGAAGGCGTTACAACGAGCATTAGACGAACAAAGAAAGGTGTGCAATAAACTAAAGGCTTTGGAAGCATTGAATAGGATGTGACGTTGAAGGATCATGCAAAAATCTCCAAGTAGTATAGACAAGCAGAAGAGTATTTGTCTTTAATCAGAAGCTTTACAGCAATTTTCATGAACATGCGAGCTGCACGCTGAAATTTGGTTTTTCGCTGCCGTCAATCAAACCTAATCAGTCAGTACCTTTCATATTTCCGAGTCCGTACCGCTCGGAACGAGTTGCACGATTGAATTAAAAACAATAGATTGGTCTTCCAAACAATAGCACTAAACCTAACCTTTACAAAAGCGGTACTGTACTTAGRGRGCAATGAAAATCCAGCTTTCGAGCGGTACTGGATTACTCGAAAGGTGGTCATGTTTGTCATGACAAAAGACGCGCATAGCAATAGAGTTTTCTTCCCCAGCGAAAAAGAATTCTTTCTCAGATTAGACCAGATTCTATAAATTGTTCATGCTTCCTGTCATGGCTGCCATAACGTGATGGTGCAAAGCCTCTATATAGGCATCAAAAAGCCGTTAAGGGATTGTGGGAGATCCCTCGCGATGCGTATGCGGTAACCCAAATCGATTCACGCCTCATTAAGGCCTCAGTTTCAACATAGGTTACAGTACAAGCACGAAAAATGCAGACTTCCTGCTTTGACTAAGCCAACATAATCTAAAAACCATAACCATTTCTTTCCTTTTGTTTTAAATCTTCAGATAATAGCAAACCTAACATCAGCGTGGCAGATGAGACGTTTTGGTCAATACTACATCACAAAATCCGAACAGGTGCAAAATCTAGAGACACTCAAAGAAGCTTTGCACGATGATCGAATAAGAAGAGGACCATATGAGGTATTTATAGGCTTCCTACGTAGTATATGTATGAACTCTTGTGGAAGGGCTTCTAAGGCTGTTTATTACGATGTATATCAAATGTTAGGGACCGATGCACAACCGAACAAGATGTAAGGGACGTTAACCTGGATCTATAGAGAACCCATACTTCTGTTTTGGAGCGCCCCTCACGATCAACAGTGGATTGTTGATCTCGTTCCCAGGGCCTTCGTTTTTTTTCTAGTTAGCACGAGACGAACTTAGTTGCGGCAAACGTCACTTCTGTGCGCTGCATTTTTTACTTTTTTACATATTGCATACTTAGGAACTTTGATAAAATCTTCAAACTGACTTCTGGCTGCTTGCGCTCTCATAAACAGTTCGACTGATACATTGAAATGGCTAAATATTTCAAAGCCTCGTTTAAGATTATCAAGGGAAACGCAGTCTCTATGGGCTAAGGAGAGACAAGGCGCGAAAAATGCCGGCTTTGAAAACCAAAACTTTTCTTAAATTTAACTTTAATTCAAAACTAGTTTGCATCTATATATTTGACCGACTAGTTGGACTTGACTCAAACAATTAGTTCTCTATCGCCCTCATGGCTTATGAATCAATAGCCCATTCGGGCTTGAGGACTAATTGCTAAACTATAATAAGTATAATGAATTGTTTCATGTTAYGAATTGTTTTACTAGATGACAACTAATCTTATCAAAGAAGCAATAGAACTGCCAAAAAAGCGCTTTATCGAGTTGGTTCAAAAATACTACCGTCAAGTGAAGTTGAAAGAAATGCAAGAACGAGTAAAGAGAGCGAGACTGGAGGAAAACCTGGGAGATAAATTTGTCTACATGTTGGAACGAAGGATACAAAAAGTAAGTTTTTTTAAATCATAAATACACAGTTTTGGCAGCCGTTCTTGAAAAAGTTTGTAATACAACCCAACGACTCTTATTTCCGAGTACGTTTCAATTAAAGTATACACTTTTTTTTAAAAAAAAGTCGGAGTCCAAAGAGATATAGATGATAGGAGAGAGGAAAGAGGTCATTCCAAACTGTCCTGCATGGAATGACTTGTTTCTTTTTATTATTCTCGTTTAGWGTTGYTTGTAGTCGACAAAGCCATCTTSATAAACAGCTCGATAATTCCTGTTTAGGTGTGTGCTCCATAATTTCTTTGGCTCCAACAACCTTTTTGAAAGTCGTAAGTCACTCAAACTATATACGTATGACTGCAGGGACGTAGTCAAGATTTTGCCTTGGGGGTGTGGGGGGAGGGGAGGTAAGTCGCGTTAACTTATCACGTGACTACTTAGGTGTTAAGGTGTCTACAGAGTAAGGATGACTTTCTTTCATGCAGCCGTTACTTATAGTTATCAATTTGGCCCTT